CGCCGGTCCATCGCCCGCAAGTCTGAAAGCTTTCGTCCTGATGAAGGTGCCTGGATTTGAGCCGAGATGCTGTAAAGGGTGTTTGGGTGATGGAAAAAAGGTTGGAACACTGCCCAAAATGTTGTCAGAGGATGTCCACCCCATTTCTAGAAAACGCCCCGCGGTTGTCTCCGCAGGGACGAGGGTTGAATGGAGACCAGGTGGGCTTGCAAAGGGTACCGGGAGAGCCGAGCCTCGTGCATTTTGTAGTCACGGTCCTGTCAAGTCTCAAATGCCTTGCAGCCTGTGTGATGCTAACGGGCTGACAGGTAATCAATTGTCGCGGGTTCAGCTTCATGGGACATGATTTCCAAGTAGACCAGGTGGCTTCCAGAAGCTAGTAGCACATGCTCGAGTAGCTATTCCAGAGCTGAACCACGAGTTCCCATGATTTTTCCGGCGTAGGCTATGCACATGCGTGTACCTTGTTCTTTTTGAGTGAAGGAATTTCCGAAAGGCTGGGTAGGCAAACTAGCAGACACTGCATCGCTGCCAAACACTCCTCAGGTGAAGTACGACGTTCTCTGGCAAATCGTGGCTCACAATTCCAGCAGAGGGATGACGAAGGCGGTTTGTCCCTTGCAGGATTGAGCTTTGTTGCGTGTGACCCCCTAAAGCGTTCCGAGTCAGGCGAAGCTCGACGCTCCCTTGCCCGCAAGTCTGAGAGCTTCCCACCTGACGAAGGTGCCTGGAGATGGCTGGATTTCGTTGCTGCATGGGGCCCCGTGCTTGAGGCATGACTCGGCGCTCCAGCGGTCATGGCTATGAGGAGGAAGGCCTACCCTAAGAGGCTTAAGCGGATCCAGTCCTAGCTCCAAACATGCTCCAAGCATCTACAGGCCAGACTCGCCGCTCAGTTGCGTCTCGCAAATCAGAAGCCTATGAGGATGCAGGCGGGCCTAGAGCTGCAACTTGGAAGACATGCCAGCTATTTCCAGCTGCTAGCAGTCTATAACAAGCGCAGCCTTCCAAATCCTGCTTGTCTGTTGGCTGCGTTTGTCCGAGATGGTCTCACTTCCATGAATGTCGCAAGCACTGCTCTTGTGAACATTCCA